TCCCCCCAAAGTCGGCCTCCAACTAACTTCTTCTTTATATAAGTTCTCATAAAACCCCACTATTTGCCACTGTTAGGCCATCTGTGTTTCTCAGGAAATAAGTTAGGAAATAAGTTACATCACTTTTACTGGTTTTCTTCTCGTGCACTTATAAACTACTGTTGGGCATGGTGAACTTAATCAGGTTGCTCAGGCAACATCGAAGCAGATGTCCAAGCGTGATCCTTTGAGGCCTTATATGGACGTTATTGATAAGATGTTAGTTCAAATGGTATGGCTCCTTTTTGTTACCTACTGACTTATACTCTCTCTCCTCCTTTTGCTTTCCGAATACATGCATGATATTTTATTTCATTTACAGTTCAGGGAGGATCCATCTTTCAAACCGCAAGGGGGTCGATTGGGAGAAGATGACATGGATTATGATACAGATGAGAAATCAATGGCAAAACTTAGGCGTAATCTTCGTATAGCTCGAGAGGAGTACTATAGATATAAAAGGTGAAGTCAATGCTGCATATCAAGTTGCTGGTTGCATACTTTTCTGTGCCTTCTTGCACTGCTTGCCCATGTGAACCTATTCTTCTATACTTGTTATTCATCCGGAAAAAATCCTCATCTAAGTCAATTTTATTATCCTGTAGTTCAAGAATAAGTATCAGATCCAGGTCTCCTTATTCCTTGATGAGTCATAGTATGCCAATCTAGCAGGTCATATAGAAAGTAAGCACGGGACCCTTTCGATGATATCTACTAGCTCCTACGATATATTAAGTTTTTGATTTTAACAGGCGTCTGTTACCTCCGTAATAAAATCTGTTACTACACTTTCAACAGTCTTAGAATGTCAAAAAGCACGGGACCCTTTCGATGATATCTACTAGCTCCTATCAATATCTGAAGGTTTTGATCTTAACAAGCGTCTGTTACCTCCGTAATAAAATCTGTTACTAGACTTTGACTGGTCTTCTCCTTCTTGTACATTTTTGGAGTTCACAAAGCCTACCCGTTAGTTTAGATGTTTGTGGAAAGCTGTCCCTTTGTCCAGGCATTCAACTTTGGTACTATTTGTTTGTAGATCTTTCCCTTTAATAACATCTTATACATCATGACCTAAAGATGGATTCTGTTCTTTTAGCTTCTGAATGCAGCTAGAATTAATCATTTGACGCTCCTGACTAACCACTTTGTCCTGGTTATCTATGTTCACTAACTCCTATTTTGCTTTGTTATCTGTGTTTGAAAAACATTGATGATAAAAATTCTTATTCTAACAACTAATTAGAACTTTTTTATCTCCGCATTTTGTTTATCAGTATGTTTCAGCAGCATACCGGTGAAGGTTTCTTTATCTTCTGGCTGTAGAAATTTAATGATTTTACCAGGGGCCAACTGATAACTTTACCTTCTAACATGCAGCGAGTATTTGACATGCGTAACAGAGGCTCTTGAACTGGAAGATACAATTAAGAATTATGAGCAGCGCAATGCAACTGGTTGGTATGTGTTATTATTCTACTTTTGTGTTCTGGTAGCTGTTCTATATTTGTCCACCAGTTTTGTTATAAGCACCTGCTTTTCCTCTGATCCCCAAAAGAAACCAGGAAAATGATTCAAGCAGGAGTCCCCAACCTAAAGATCTTTATTGTATGTATAAATACAAAGGAGAGCACCCAAGAGTGTGGCCTAGTGGTCAATGAAGTGGGTTGAGAACCATGAGGTCCCAGGTTCAAATCCCAGCGGTGGCAAAAACACTAGGTGATTTCTTCCCATCGCCTTGGTGAACAGAGTTATCTGGTACTTATTGCTGGTGGGAGTTAGCAGGTTATCCCGTGAAATTAGTCGAGGTGTGGGCAAACTGGCCCGGGCATAAAAAATATTACAAAGGAGATGCATTTAGAAACTATAGTATACAAATTTTTCTATAATGTTATGAAAAGTGATATGGAGAGATGGGAAGTGCTGGGTCATTATTTTAATGGTAAGATGATGCGACTCGAAGAAATACACACTTCGGATAATGAGGTGCAAACCAGCAGGGAGTGATCACTTTTTAAAAATGAGATGGAAAAGAAAAAAAAAGATGAGAAAAAAAATTGGGTGGATAGCTATCTGAGGACTAGGAACTGTTTCTTTTCTGCAACTCTTGTTCTTCTTCTCTGGTTTACGACTGCTCTTCTTTTTCTACTTCTGTTTATCTGCTTCTCTCGTTTTTCTTTCTTTCATTTCACAATGAATTTTCTTCTTCTGGTGAGTAAGTCGCCCTCTTCTGCTAGCTTTCAACTAAGGCAGCGTTGTAGTTGTTGTTGGTGTGCATATCCTATTCATTTGCTACTTCTGCTTCGTTGTGCTTCTCTTCTCTCTCTGTCCCCTTTTTGTTCTTCAAATTCTTGATTTATTGGAAGATTCTTTGGAATAAAAAATGATGCAACTACATCTAACTATTGATGCAATTGCTATAAAGCAATTAGATATTAAATTGAATTATGATGTTATAAGTTCTTGTAAATTAGGTAATTTTGTGTGCTTTGTTAATTTTGAAGATCACTTCTTGCTTAAAGCTTCAGGGGTCTTCTTTTTTTTTTTGCTCACTTTTCGTTTCTGAAAATACTTGTTTCAATTTTGACGGACTATATTGGCTTTTAGGATAGGTTTTAGAAAAAGCTTGTTTGGTAAGGGGAAATCTATTATCATGAAATGAAATTCTTTTGACATTCTTCTAAGCTTTTATAAATTTCCTTCAGGTTGTTAGGTGTTGATTTTTAAATTGAGCACTAGTTTTATGCTATTTCTAATTTATAAGTTATGGGGCATAAGATGAAACCTTTAGATTTTACTTTGTACTTTTTACGTTTTATATTTTCTGGCTTTCTTCCTCTCTTTTCTTTTACCTTTGCTTTGAGTCCTTGACATTTTTGTCCCTTTGCTTCTAGATGTTCACTATAGCGTAAAAATTTATGCAGGAAATTTGTTTCAACCTTGAGATCTGAAAGGGCTGGAACTTTGGGCTCTTTCTTAGACACAGCAGGTATTTTTCAAGGGTGTTTTCTAGTTTATGCATCTGCCATAGATGGATTCAAAGAAGGAGCAAAATCATTAGAAGTAGTTTGCATCACAGCTGCATAAAATATAATTGAAGTTTTGGTGATGGCATCATATGCTATAATTGAATTTTCTTTTCTGGTTGGGGTTCTCCTTTATACCAAAAGAACCAGTGGAGGTGGAAAGGAGAAGACGTCTGAGTCTTGGTTAGATTATAGATCTTGAAAAGAAACTTTAGAAATAGACTAAAATGAGTTCAGAACTTCCAGCCTGTTCCCCCATAATCAAGAGGTTTACCTTAGGACTCCTTAGTTTGGTTCTAGCTAAATGAATCCAACAACACAAAAAGTGCAGATTTCCAGTGTTGCATTGTTTTTTTTTTGTTTGCTTCAGGACTAGTGATGCACAGTTCAAAACTGTTAGATAATGGGTCCCCCTCTACCCTTTTCCACTTAAATACTAGGCTATTGTTTACGGCGATTTTCTGACCTGTGATGTATGCTTAAGCCACACGTTACGTTCTGTGCTTTTGCCACTAAACCTAAGCCTTGGGGGCAAGAATGTTGCATTGTTTATCAAGATATGTACCTTGAGCTCTTACCAAGAACTGGTCTTATAGAGTTGGTGGAATGCATTATTCCAAGCAGAGTAAATTGGTAACATGTATGCTGCAAAAGCACTAGTAACTGATACCAATGTGCTTCGAGGTTTACTGAATGTGCAATTATATTCCAGACAATAGAGGACTAATTATGCAAACAGGAGGGATGGTTCATGCTTGTTTATTTGATTATTGGTGTCAAGGACAATACCAATATTGACATCCTTAGCTTTTGATACCTCTATCCCACATGAATAGAAGGATGTGGACACATGTACTACTACTACTCCTACACCTCAATCCCAAGGTGTTGGTTATCCAACTAATAATTTGTTTGACGGCGTCTTGGTTGGTTGTTTAGTCTTTGAGTCATAGCTGACTAATTAATATGTACTCAAGTATTTTATTTATTTGAAGTATTAGTTTTGTCATATAATATCTGCTTGTATTTGGTTTCTCCACTTCTGTAATAAGGGTTGATATTCTTTTCCAGAATTAATCTGGCGATGTGTCCTGCGGAAGCAATTAGAGAAAGTCTCAGCTGTGATTTTTGGTTGTATGTCAGCTGCTATTCTATTGGCAGAGGCAACTCTATTGCCAAGAGGAGTTGATTTGTCTCTATTTTCCATTCTTATAAAATCTGTGGGAGATCAAGAGGTTCTTGTTCAGGTACTTTTAGATGATTATGTTCTTATATGGAAGTTTTTCCCTCGTCTGGAATGTTTCTAGTGTTTCTAGCATTTTTTATTGGATAATTATGAGTCATGATTGCTTTTGCATTAGCTATACTTTTTTATCATCATTTTGATGAGATTCTGCTCATTGTTAAAAGGGAGCAATTTAATCACTACAAAGATGTACTGGGTGGTCTTTATTATATAAGAAAAAGTGCACCTACGATATCTTTGTAGCATTTTGAATTAGTTGTACAATACCTGGACATAAGGATGCACAAGTGGGTGCATAAGAGACTTGTTTGCTCACCCTGGCTTGTTATCTTGTTACTTGAAGACCTTAGAACTACTTCATGCATGAGAGTTCAGACAGTTAGTTTTTCTTAGTTGTGGCAATTCTTAACCCTTATCTCTTTTTCAACCTGCCAAGACCATTTATCACCAATCCATTTAAGGAAAAGTAAAGATGGGCCTATCCTTTTTGAAGCTGTAAAGAAATGTGCTCATATGAGTAGTAATGGGCTGGAAATGGATTTACTAGTTTCCGAAAAGAAAAAAAGAAGAGAAATGTTGTAACTCATAAGTGAAAAGATATAGAAGTAGATCCATAATTGGTTGGAGGTAGGGTGACTTCTTTTTGAATAAAGAAATCAAGTTGTTGCTAATGTAGAAACTGAGTTATGATGTATCCTGTTTAGCAGAAACTTTGGGATGGTTTAGAGGGTTGACGTGTAGAAGAAGTGAGAGAGAAGAATTATCAGTCTCACACGTACTTTATGCAGATGATACATTGATTTTGTGTGAATCTGAGAGAGAGAGAGAGCAACTTTTACATCTCAGAGGAGTTTTATTAGCTTTTGAAGCTGTGTCAGGGTTGAGGATGAACTTGGCTAAGAGTGATGCGTCCAGTATTAATGCAGAGCATTGCATTAGTGACCTGACCGACATAATGGGTTATAGGGTGGAGCAGCTTCTGACTAGTTATTCTAGGCCTAGGAGCTAAAAAGAATGATCAGAAGATGTGGCAGGGAGTTCTAGATAGGTGCAGTAGTAAACTGGTTCCATGGAAAAAACAATACTTGTCATCTGGGGGAAGACTTACACTAGTTAACAGTGTGTTGGATGGTATGCCTACCTTTTTGATGTCACTAAGAAGAATGCCAACAGTAGTGGAGAAAAAACTGAATACTGTAAGAAGTAACTTCTTTTGGGAAGGTAATGCAGATAGAAGGAAGTTCCACTTGGTTAAATGGCAGGGGATGATGAAAGGGAAAAAAGGAGGCGGTATGGGAATAAGGAACTAAAGGTTGCATTAATGAAAGCTTATTATTTAAGTGGCTTTGGAGATATAATGATGAAAGTTACCTACTTTATCAAAAAAAAGATATAATGATGAAAGTAACAGTTTATGGAAACCACTCATAAATGTCAAATATGGCAGGAAGGATTTTTGGACTCCCTGTGCAGTCCAATCCTCTTCAAAGGGGGGAGTATGGAGTACTATTAGTAGTTTATAGAGTGAATATAGTCAGTTTGTAAAGTTGAAGCTGGGGAATGGAAATAATATCCAGTTCTGGTCTGATGTATGGCTGGGGAATTTATGTCTGAAATCAAAGTTTCCTATTTTATATAGATGCTCCACTGATAAGAATGGAAAGGTAGCAGATTTTTACTCAAGTAATGGGTGGCAGCTGATCTTCAGGAGGGGCCTTAATGATTGGGAACTAGATGAATTAGCTCAGTTAATGCAATTGCTGGACGGTGTCAGTTTGGAAGGCAATAGGAGGGACTCAATGATTTGGGCAGCAAGTACTGATGGAAAATTCACAGTTAGTAGATGTTATGCTTTATTACAGAAACAACAAGGGAGGTACGAATTAGATTGGCCATGGAAAGCGATCTGGAAGTCAAAAGCTTCTGTTAAAGGCATGTTTTGGGTGGGTGGCAGCAAAGGAAGCTTGTTTAACCCAGGATAATCTACAGAAGAGAGGATTTATTTTAATTAATAGATGCTACATGTGTGAAGAAGATTTAGAAACAGTCAATCATCTCCTCATTCACTGCAAGGTGGCAAGACAGTGTTGGGAGCTATTCCTTTAATATGTATGGTATAAAGTGGGTTATGCCCCAAATGTGAAGAATCTGTTGGAGACATGGCGATATCAAAGTGGCAAAAATTCATCGGTGAGTGTGGAGGACAATCCCCCTACGTGTCTTATGGACACAATATGGCTGGAGAGGAACAGAATATGCTTTGAAGGAATTAGACAGCATGTATTCAGGATTAAAAATAGCTGTCTTTTGAACTTGTTTTCTTGGTGCAAAAGGAGTGTTATGGAAAATTTGGAGCAGTACATAGATTTCCCAGAGGAGATAGTTGATATGTAGTTGATATGTTTCTATCAGTTGTTGCTTTCTTGTAACTGTACCATCCTGGTACCTTCTTTAATAAAACTTTTCCTTCAGTATCCTGTTAATGCCTTTTTGTCATTAGCAGCTTGCTTCATGGTTATACCAATCTAGGAGGTGTCACGAAACTGAGTATAGATTCTTGTTTCTTCCGTTATTCATGTGCTTAGTACTAAATTTGTCTCATGAGACTTGTATATCACCTAGTGTTGTCAAAGGCTCATTTGAGGCGCGCTTAACCCCTAAAGCTCAGCAAAGCTCAGGGTAGGCGCTTCACCTCAATTAGGCTGCTTTAATGTAGGCAAGGCATTGGGACATGCACCTAATTGCCCATGTGTTCTATTTTGAATATAGCGGTACTAAACGATTAATATGATTGGCAAAAAGATATAGTAATTGTTAAGGAAATTATTATGAATGAGGGTGTCACTTTTTTCTTGCATTACATATACATATTTTTGTATTTTTCTTCGTTGCATCTTTAATTAACTAAAACCCACACCTTATTTGAGCTTTGTGCTTAGAGCCTTGGTAGATCTGTAGCGCTTTTTAACACTTTTCGCCTTTTGACAACGCTGATATCACCTTTTATTTTGTCATGATTGTGCTTTGTTCAGTAAAGTGAAATTGGGTTCAATTCAACTGCATTTCCAGGTTTACCTCTTTTATATTTGATCTCCTCAGATGACCCTTGCCACCTCTTAACTCTTTAAGTTAGTATTCAACACTTAGATTTTGGAGTATTTGGTGTTGATCAGTTACTTGGAACCCCAGAGGATTGGTTCAGTTTCAATGATATTTTCTTTAAGCTCTGCCCTAGACAGTTTGTGACCCGTACTATGTGTGTTCCTAGGCCACAGAACAGTCAAACTAAAACTAATACATTCAAAGTATTATCACAAAGGATGACATGGTATTCGACCTCGCAATAAAGAGTTAAAACATGGTTTGGATTGAAAAGCTCTACAGACGGCTTGCATTACTGTCAGCAAAATCGCACCCCCTTTTTCCCGTTAAAACCGTTTTTGATTTTGTTTCCTTAATTATTTCTCACATATTGATGGTCCTCTCTTTTGATTATATCCGGAACTATTAGTTTTGAGATAAGCTCTATTTCCTGCATTAAGATAGCTAAAACGGATGGAGTCTTAATTCTTCAGATTGTTAAGTGACTTTTGTCAATGTTCTATGCTTGCATGTCTTTTATGCATGTTGAATGTTGATTCAGTCTTCAGCTTTCAAGCCAATACTTCCTCATTTTGCAGGTGTTTGCGTTTCTGCCACTCATGTATATGTGTGTCTGCACTTACTATTCACTGTTTAAAGCTGGAATGTATATGTTCTACTCATTGACACCGAGACAGACAAGTTCAGTGAGCTTGTTAATGATTTGCTCGTAAGTTAATTTTTTCCTAGTAATCTTATTGCAGTAAAAGCAATTTGGTTTTCCGTATTAATTTTGAGTTTCCTCGATGTATCTGCCAGGATGATTGCTCGCTATGCACCTCCAATTTCGTACAATTTCCTTAACCTTATTAGTCTCGGCGAAAACAAGAAAACCATTTTTGAGCAGGTGAGCTTATGGTCAACCTCAGGTTTATTACCCATGAAAAATGATGAACACTAGTTTGCTGAAGAAAGCTGCCGAATTCTGTATGTCTTTTATGTATTCTGTATGTCTTTTAACAATATCAGTAGGCATGCATTCTTCACTTTTGTGATCCTTTATTTGGTCTAGAATAATATCCAAATGATGCTTATTGATACTAAAAATATGCTTGGTTTCCTGTTTAGGTGATGCCTTATTATGCTGGTTGTAACAATGTGAATATTGTATCAAACAAATCATCTCTTCTTCCCCCNTCTATCTTCAAACTGGGAATGGTGCTTTTGTAATTCTAACTTAAACTTAGTTACTGCATTCTGGCAAGGTAAAAGGTCTTGTTCTTGCCATGAGACCAGGACGGTGGGGAGTGCTCTCCCATATGGTATTATTTAATCAAGTACTATCTGTTTTGGGTTTGATTTCTCATTAAACAAATGGGTTTATTCTTTGACATTCTGGTGACATGTAACAAAAAAAGGGTAGCCTGGTGCACCAAGCATCCCGCACTCACACAGGAGCCGGGGAAGGATCGCACCCCAAGGGATGTGATGTAGATAGTCTACCCTAATGCAAGCATTAGCGGTTGCTTCCACGGCTCGAACCAGTAACCTATAGGTCACACGGAGACAACTTTACCGTTGCTTCAAGGCTCCCCTTCCTGGTGACATGTAATCTCCTTAAATAATTCATTCCCCTTTTGTCTTATGCTTTATTTATGAGTGCAGCGAATGGGAACTATTGACAAGGCTGTTCCTTTCTTTGGTCAAGGATTCAACAAGATTTATCCACTTATTATGGTTGTATATACACTGCTAGTTGCAAGCAATTTCTTTGACCGGATAATCAGTTTCTTCGGAAACTGGAAGATATTTAGATTCCAGACGGAGACAGATGATATGGATGGTTTTGATCCATCTGGGTTACTGATCTTGCAGAAAGGTAAGCTGGTTACTGGAACTTCTTTTGTTCTTTGGTTTTTCAGTTGGAATGCAAAGCTTGTGGTCCACAGGGCAGCTGGAACTGGACCATTAAGTCGCTTTAATGTTTTTAATCATCTGGATCAGTTTGAACTGAGTATTTTGTCAATTATGATGCACCTATCTTCTATCTTTGCAGAACGAAGCTGGCTTGAACAAGGACGCAAACTTGGTGAACATGTTTTGCCACTGGCAAGGAATTTCAACGGTGTGACAGTGGATCTGGAGTCTGAAGGCAATGCCATAGTATGTGATTTATCTTTAAACTGCATTTGGATATCGAGTAGCTCAGAAACATGTATTCAGAAATTTTCAATAAGGGAAAGGAAGCAAGATGACATTTCCTTGCATGCATAAGTTGAATGGCAAAGAAGGTTTCAGAAAGAAATAGTGGCTGTTTTCAACTTCCCTTCAAAAGTTTTATTAACTTCAGCACTGGCTTAATTTGGAAGAACTTTAGGGAAACCCTTTAATTGCTTTTTCCATATATTTAAGCAGGAAAAAAAGGCAACAATATTATCTTTGTACCACATCCTTTCCCTTTTCGCGTCAACCAGATGGTATCTCTTATGTCTTTGCTTGAGTTCATAAGTACATCCTTAAAGTATGCTAGTTTGTTCTGTTTTTAGTGTTGAGACAAACCGGTGCATGCACCTCTCATGAGGAGAATTGCATGTAAATTTTATTTTATGCATGTAAAGTTTACTCTAATCATCGATCTCTGTGCCCATGTCCTGTCAAGTTATCTGGTCGTATCTCAGTAATTTGTCATGTTTCAGCCTAGTTACATTCACTTAAATTTTCAGGATACAAGTGATTTTGAATTGAAGGCATCCTTGGAATCAAGCAAGGACAACTTTAGAGGAAGTTCTTCAAAACCTTTGAGAGATGATGCCCGTAGGTATTCAGGGAGCAAGGAAGCAATTAGCAGCAAATATGCTGCCTTGAGGGAACAGGGGCAAACATCTCATGTGAAGCCAATGGAGGATGTAGGCTCTACTAAGGTCTCTTTACTTGATTCTGCCAACCCTCGCTCTGGCAGCACAGTAGCAGCTCCATCAGGTTTGGCTGGAAGATGGGCATCTATGAAAGCAGGTTTCCAGAACTTTAAAACAAACATTGAAGCAAAAAGGTTAATTCCACTACGCCAAGTTGGTGAATTTATTCCTTTACGTCAAGCTCAGGATACCAATGTCTCTCGTGCCTCCTCATCCGAATCTCTTGATGATATATTCAATAAATTAAAACGACCTGCTTCAGAGAGTGAAAATTACAGTGATGATGATGGTGATGAGAGAATACCCAGGAGGTGATACTGTAAATTGTTTCCCATTTGATGGAATATACTTGTTGATATCTTTAGAAATCAGGAAGAAATGAGCCAACAAAGATGTACAGGACTCTGAGAAACTATCAGCTGCTTATTCATTCTTTACAGCTGACTTTTGATGTAGTTGAAAGGGCCATGCTATAAGATAGGAGCCAAAAAACTGGTCAGGGAGTGATTCCAGGATCACCCAACGGCCAATGGCAGAACTGTAGGAGTGTAGGTCATAGGAAAGCTGAGATACAAATTCAATCCGCATTGATGAAGAGAAATCCTGTAGGTCAGTGTATTCAGTTTGTATAAGTTGATTCTTGTATAATTCATGTACTGCTAAATTTTGAGGGTTTCTGTGTTTTGGGGGCGGGATGTTGATGACATAATTTGATGGTTATATAGAATTTTGATCTGTCACATTGGTTATTGACAGGAAAGGTTAGATATTAAATCCAAGGATATTTCCTTAATCATGAAAATACCTGTATTGTTTTAGATCTGCTAGTATCTGCTAGATGTGCTGTAAATTCTTTTTGAATAGAACATATCCCCATGAGAATGATATGATGAGTACATTGTTCTATAATTTTTTTTCTTTTTTTACGTTGTTCTATAACTTGTAGACACTTGAATTTTATTGGAGGAAGTTCATATAGAAATTGGGCTACATCCAAAATGCAAGACATATTGGCCTGAACTAATTATTGGTCTGTGGAGTTCGACTGATTCTTTAAAGACCAATTACATTGATTTAACAGAAATCAGACTTTCCTTAGATTACAATATCTAGTTATGTAGCTCAATGTGTCTAGTTCGTTTCAAGTCTGAGGGTTACTTGTTATCCCCAAGTGAAATTCTAGGCTAATTGTATAATGCCTGTTCAGTTGTGTGACATGTCCTGTCATATGCTTCTTATATATATA